TTTGTCTTGATTTTTGTAGACATTATTTTTGATATTTTTGTTGTTAATTTTTTTGTCAACAATATAATTTTTGTTAACAATATAAATTTTCTGAAGTTAAGTTTTTTTAATAATTTTATTATTTTATAATTTATTTGATATACGGAAATTTGTCAAATCAAATATATAATAATTTATTCGTTTGAGTATACAAAAAAAATGTTTTTTTATACTGATTTTTGAATAAAAACTGAAGTCGACATCGAAATATTAAAAATTAATATCAACAACTCTTCGTAAAAAAGAAAAATTAATAAAATTTTCATATAGCATAAATCCAAATACACTACTTTTTCCACTTTTTTGTTTTTCAAACGTCTTTATTTTCTATATTTCTTATGGTTAACGTCTCTTACACTTTTTATATTTGTTAAAACAAAAAAAAAATTTATATTGGATAATTAAGAAAATATAAGATTTAGAAAATCAATTTCACTCATTCGTTTACTATTGTGTGACCTTTTTTATTCCAGATCAAATTTTTTTGTAGTTGTTTTCTTTTATTATTAGGATTTTAAGGTTAAGTTTTTACTGGGCTTCCGGACCATATAAATGTTTAAGAATAATTAGCACAATAGTTACCAATTTTTGTGTATAGAAGATTTATTGATTTAATAATAAATGTATTAATATTAAGGCTTTGATGTTTTTTTTTATCAAACAGATTAATTGATTCATTAAACCGGTACTAAACCGGAGCGAATCGGTTCAGAATACAAAGCAGATTTAGCAAGGCATCGGCCATTATGTTCTTCCCTCTTGGGATGTGAACGATAATCGTGATTTTTAGATCAAGAGAAATCGAAAAGATATCTTGGAGGACTCCATAGATGTCCGATTGAGAGTTCCTCGAATTGATTAGATTGACTAATTGCTTGCATTGTGCATGAGCATTGATTCTCCTTGTAGCCAACTGCCTTCCTACTGGTATAGCTCCATTCAATGTTTTCCATAGGAAAAGTTTCAGTTTTTGAGAGATTTTTGTGTTCCAAAACAGAGCTTTCTAGTTGAAAGCAGGTGTTGTGACTTTCGATTCTGGGCAGATGAGCTCATGATGTTTTATTTCATAATTTTCCATGTCATAATTAATTTTTCCTTTGTCATTCTTTTTACTAGATTGATTGTGGTGATGACATCTAAGCTAAGTTAAAAAAATGACTTCCCAAATAATATATAAGGAATATTTTCATTTACTAAAGATTTTCATATTTAAAAATTTAGAATTGATGATATATTAATTTCAGAAATTTACTCAACACCAATCATTAGGGGTGACCAATCTGGGTTTTGGATTGGATTT